AGCACCCAGTCATCCTCCTCAATATTTACAATCATTACGTCAAGTGATTGATCTGTAGGTATAATGGTACTTCGGCTCAATGCGTCTACATGGCTCATTTTAGTTCCGGCACGGTATTCGATATCAAAGTCAAACTCTTGAATTGATAACCACCACCTAGCAATACGGGGAACTAAGTCTCGTTTCATAAGGGTGTGACGTAGTGAGTTACAGTCGGTAACAATTTTAAACTTTATACCAATTAAATATATCCTGAACTTCTTTAGAGCGCATACAGCGGCTAAAGTTTCAAGCTCATAAGAGTGGTATTGTTGCTCTTCTTTGGTGGTGGCTCTACTAAAATATTGCACTGGTTTAAGAATATTATCCTTTTGCCGTTGTAAAAGGATTCCCCCTAGCCCAACCTTACTGGCGTCACAATGTACTTCCGTTTCCGCTTCTCTGTTATAAATGGCCAGAATGGGCCGTTCTACTAGCTTCTTTTTTAAATTGTCAAACGTACTCTGCTGTTGTTCTTCCCATACAAAGGGAGTGTTTTTGCATGTTAGCTTAGTTAAAGGCTTAGCGATGGCGGCGAATCCTTCGATAAATTTTCTAAAATAACTGGCAAGTCCTAAAAATCGCCTAACTTCGTGAACATCCTTGGGTGCTGCAAAATCTGCTACGGCTTTTATTTTATCGCGACCAGGTCTAATACCCCCTCCAGTTATTTCGTGACCTAGGTATTCAATTTTAGACTGAAGAAAATGGCACTTATTAAATCTTAATGTCAATCCAGCATCTCTAAAAAGATTTAGGACATTTTCGAGCCGTTCCATGCCTTGTTCTAGAGACACTGACGGTATAAGTACATCATCAAGATATGCCATCGCACTGTCAAAGCGTAAAGGACCTAATATTTTATTCATAGCCCTTTGGAAGACTGCTGGTGCATTTACCAACCCAAAAGGCATCCTTAAATATTCGTAATGGCCATCTGGAGTTACAAAAGCAGTTTTCGATATGGAACTTTCTTCCATCGGGATTTGATGATACCCAGAGGCGAGGTCTAACGTTGTATAATAAGTATTTCCTTCTAGATTATCTAGAAGGTCATCAATTCGTGGCAGTGGGTATTTATTTTTAATAGTTTTGCGATTTATGGCCCTATAATCTATGCACATTCTTTCTTCGCCGTTCTTTTTCTTTACTAGCAGTATAGGACTAGCATAAGGAGACTCTGACTCTTGAACTATACCATGATCAATAAGGTCTTGGACTATTGTGCGGACTTTTTCGCGTTTTGTGAAAGGCATACGGTAAGGGCGATACGTTACTGGTTCACTATCGGATAGTGAGATCGACATTTCCGTTACGTTTGTTTTACCAACCTCCCCTAAGTTTGTAGCAAAACAATCCCTATATTCGTTAATTAATTTAAGTAATTTAGAACGTGTAATGCTGTCTAGTTCTAAATTAGTTTGTCTTTCGATATCTAATAATGTAAAAAGTGGCAAATCAGCAATATTTGTTGTTAAGCAAGTTTTAGATGGTATTTTCGAATCTGCATTACATGTATAGCCTCTGGCAAGTACCCTGCCTTTTTCATAACAAACAGGCTTATCGGATATATTGGCAACAGGGATGCTACTACTATTATTCATATTTATAACGCACGGTAAAATAATGTGAAAATTATTATTCCAATTTCGATACTTTAGATCTACAAAAACATCCCTAACGTTTTCATGTCTAATTAGCGAAATATGACCTATAAAATTCGGTGGGATAATAGCAGTTTCCTCGACACATAAATCAATTTTCTTAGATAAAAAGTCATCGATATTGGTGATATTGACGTTATTTTGATTAAAAAGTCGGACCTGGTGACCCCTAACTAAAACTGTGACATTATCATTATTTAAAAATGGCTGGCCTATAATAATAGGAACATCCTGTACATTATCAGGTACCACGAGTGCGTCTACGGTAGCAAAAGCTAAATCAACATTTAATTTTATTGTAACCTTTGAACGTGCTACAACAGAACCTCCTGCATAACCACACAAACGTACTAGTGTAGGTTCACCCTGTAAATTTAATTTACGCGCATCCGATTCACGAATTGTGACTGCGGCACAACCTGAATCTACAAAGCCCCGTATAGGTTCATCGTTGATTATACAATCAATAAAATAACAAGTACTAGACAACTGATTATTTGACAATATTAAAATTGGTTTCGACTCACCCTTATTTTGTCGATCAGCTGGTCGTTTTCCCACATTTACAGTGCAACGATCGGCCTCGTGTCCTAACAGATGGCATTTTGAACAACTAACACGTGGTTTCGGACACTTTGACTGAAAATGACCTTTCATTTTACAGTTAAAGCATCTCACATTTAAAACATCTGATTTTGCGTACGGTTTACTATTACGTGTAAGTGAATGACGTAAATCCACTTTTGGGGGTCGCCTTATCGAACCCTCTGTCTTTTGTGTCGATACTTCAATGGTACTTTCCTCACGTAACATTGATAAATATCCTTCAAAAAGTTTCTCTGGTTTGTCATAACGACCCGCACGAGCAGCATTTTGAATAGCGGCATTTGGAATACCATCTATTATGCATGAAACTGCATTCTTTCCTGTTACTTGACAAGTTCTTAATAATTCCATCTTGCCGAAATAATATGCTGTCATTGTTTCAGTTAACAGTTTTTCTCTGTTTAACATTTTCCTAAGGGCCTTAGCGTAATCGACATGGTCGGGAAAAGTCTTGGCAACTAAAACTTTCCATTCGGGCCAGGTATGTCGTATCGAACTTAAACTGTGATACCAAGATTTCGCCATTCCAGAAAATCGAGCTTGCATGTGGTAAATTGTCGTTACTTCGTCCCAATCGTTAATTTGTTTAAGCTCCTCAATTTTCTCTAGCCACTTAACGGCGGACATATTTTCATTTTCGGGACAAAATTCAGGAATACAATCACTCTTTACTGCTAACCTACGATTTCCGGAATTGTGATTTTGATTCGACATTCCCGCTATTATTGTTTCTAGTTGTTTTATCCTGGCCTCGTATGTATCGCTCGAACATTGGCTGGACCTAGTATTTTCTTCAATATCGCTTTTGTTTGATACGTAACTCAAACCGCGAGATGTGCTTGATGCTACCTTTTCTCGCGACGTGCGTAACTGTCGCTTGCGTGTACCGGCTCCTTCCTTAGAGGGTGGCCTATTGTCTCGTCTCGGTGGAGTATAGCCCCGTTCAGATCGCGTACGTCTGTATCTGTTATCAGTAGAGCTTGACGATTCGCTGCTGGAATCACTACTCGAAGAGCTAGAGCTACGAGGGCGACAACGTCGTTTTCCTTTGCCCATCGTTTCTCTTTTTGTTTTACACTCACGTAACTTAACACTAATCACTAAATAATTAACTTAACTAAAACACAGGTAACCGTAAATTCACGTAAGTTTACCCCGCACCTGAACTGTAAACTATGTTAATTTAAAATAAAGGAAATTAGACTATGATTTAAAATAAGCTTTAATTACTATTTAGAATAAAACAATCAAACAAAAACTAAAGTCTAGTGTATCTATCGAAAGGTTCTAATTGAATGCCCTGCTTTTCTTAAAAACGTATATTCGACACTTGCCGACGTCGCCCGCCTCTCTGCCAGACATAAACAAACAAATAACTTCGGAGGGCCATAAATTGTGGTCCTAATCGACGTGTTGACAACGTCTTGCAAACAAGGGATGCATTCATATGGCTACACAAAACTTAAAAATCTTACATAATCAAATAACTGAAACAGATGAAGAACGGTAGAACGGTTGCAACGTTGCCGTCGTTACCCAAAGCTCGCCTAAGTAAAGTTCAATTTTTTTTACGTTAATACAAATAGCTTAATAATAATTATAATTTATACATTGTATTATCTTTTTCAAACCAACCCTGATAGCAAAATTTGATTTTAAGAATCTTCTAAGAAGATATGACCCGGAATAATGGAATATTCTTAGAACCTTCCCTTATTGCTAAGAATGTTCTTAGGGACTTTTAAAACTTTCAATAGATACCCTTTTAATGATGCAATTAGATTCTTAAAAGCTTCTTTAAACCTTCCTAAAAAGCATCCTAAGGACATTTTAAGAATACGTTTTTGGAATGTTCTTAGAAGGTTTCTTATGGAGCTTCTAGGAAGCTTTTGAGAATATTTCCAAATATGTCAGATACCCACGTTCTAATATGTTGTATTCTACATTCGTAAAATTCTTTAGGAGACGACAAATACGCCTCACTGTCATAATATGACAGTGAAATGTATTTGTCGTCCCCTTAAAAAATTTTGCGACAAATTAATATATATTTATTTAAAAATATTAAATAAACAATTCGACCTCTAAACCATAAGTAAGACATTATTTCATAAAAAGTAAAATTGGAAAATTTTGTGGGATAAGTCAGATTAGATTGAAGTTGAAGATAGTTCGGATTATTATACATAAAAATGTTAATTCAGAAATAAAAAATCGGTATACAAATTAATAAATATTTATTTTTAACATAAAATAAAATACCTATAGTAAAAGTATTTTTGTTCATCGAAAATTAACAATTATGGGTAAAAATCCTGCGAATTTCAACTATCTCAGTAAACTTGGCATCGCCGCTAGCAATAACATCGTATTAGCCTTGCCAACGGTAAAAAAACAAGCGAGTTTCACCACGGATGACTTGATATCCTTGACAAGGCTGTTTGTGTAAATTAACAGTCAATATTGCGCAAAGGGATCCATATTTAAATTAAATATGGAGCCATAAATAATTTAATATTAATTAATATTAAAAAATAACGAAACAATCATCAAATACAAAACAAAAAAAAACACAAAAGCTGCCATCTATTATTAACCACTTAAACTAATCCAAAGTTGGCAACATTGCTAAAACAAAATCTCATCCGTCAAAAGAAAATAACGGAGTTCGATTTTGTCCTCGGTGAGAAGCGCATCGCTCCTGCATTGCTCCATGAAAAAGTATGAAAAATAGTTGACTTTGACTCAGGGAAGACAGAATCGGATTCCAGTGCTAGATAATATTCCTCGTTTTGTCCTTTTTTTAAAAGGAATAGAGGAATTTATATACAGCTATTATAAATTTTAAGGTTACATAACCTATTTGTGTCGTCCACGTGTTTAATAGACAACCGTTGTCCAATGGTTTTTGGGTCTTCTGGAACCATTGGACGTTAAAACTTGTATCTGGTTAATAAGGATTTTTGTCCAGGACCACAAGGGCGGTGGTTAATCCATAAATCCGCCCTAAGTTGAAGAAGAAGAAGAAAGAAAATAACCTCACTTTTAACCGTCAAAATGATAAAACTAAACAAGCTGAAATTATTAGGTAAAATTGGGTTTAAAGCCTTAAAAACAAACACAAAACACTTGAGAACGTTGAGTTCAAGAACCGAAATATTGGAACCTGTAAAACTCAGTTATGCCACCTACGAAGACACAAAAATAGATGAAAACGAAATGCTACCACCTTTAGTCGTTTTACACGGTTTATTCGGTTCGAAATCCAACTGGGCTTCACTGTGTAAAGCATACCAACAAAAGTTACTGCCGAAACGAAAAATTGTGGCTGTGGACTGCAGAAATCATGGCGATAGTCCACACAGCGATAGTCATTCATATGGACACATAGCAGTGGATTTAAAGGATCTATTAAATCATTTAAATGTTGAAAAAATCGCTCTTATGGGTCATTCCATGGGTGGAAGGGCGGTCATGTTGTTTGCTTTGAAATATGTTAGTATTTTAGACATATTTTTTAACTTTATAACTTGAAAATTGTTGTTTTAGCCTGAACTGGTTGAAAAACTAATTGTGGTAGACATAAGCCCAGTTTCATCTGATAAAAGCCTCAATACTATGCCCAGTATATTGGCAGCACTGGAAAATGCAAAATTACCCGATAATATACCCTCTTCACAGGCCAGAGCAAATGTAGATGAACAACTAAGTCATACTGTTAAAGAAAAAGACGTGAGAGCTTTTTTGTTGACCAATCTAGTTCAAACAAGTGATAAAAAGTATGTTTATACTATATTTTTATAATAAATTATGTTTTTTCTTTATTCTAGGTACAAATGGAGGATAAATATACCAGCATTAATGGCAAATTTTAGCAACAACATAGCAAAATTCCCTAGTATAAATAATATGCATTATGAAGGCCCTACATTGTTTGTTTCAGGGGAAAAATCTAATTATGTAAAGTAAATATTGCATCAAAACATTTTAACACTCCAAAACTCATACAAACTTTATTTTAGGGAATCAGATTATCCAGAAATAAAAAAAATATTCCCCAACACTCAATTCAATGTAATTAAGGAAAGTGGGCATTGGGTGCATAGTGAAAAACCAAAAGAATTCTTAGATGTAACAGTAAACTTTTTAAACGATTATTAATGTTGGTTAAAACACAAAAAACTCACCAATTTTTAATTTTTCACGATTTGACAACTACAAGTTGTAGTCTACAACTGTCATATTTAAAAATTCAGACTGCCAACAGAAAAAAAATATAATGCCAACAGTAAAAAATGATAAAATGTTACGTTTACCGTTGTTGTAGATGATTGTTATTGTTTATCTTGATATTTTAAACTGTAAATATGTAATAAAAGTAAGATTAATTTAAAAGAAACGCGCAAAATGAAGTTTTACTCGTAAATACCGGCAACCAACAATACGACTTTGTGCAGTGGTTGCATACCCACAACATTAGTTATATTTTCGAAATTGTAAACAATTTGCACGTATTAGTGATAACATGATGTTTATAATATATATATATATATTAATCAATGGTTAAAAACTTCAATAAATTCAAATTTGGCGCCATCTAAAACGAGTTTAGCGCGTTTATACAAGTACGATACACAAACAGACATACGTTATTATGTTTTGCGGGCGTGTAAGTGAAAGGAGAACGTTGACTTGTGTCTGAGATTGTGTCAAAAAAATGTAAACACAAACCTGTCAAATTTGTAGGAGATTTGAAAGTTTAGACGCGATTTTACCGCAAAATAACAACAATTATTGGTTAATTTAGTGTAAATACGCGGTTTTTTGTTGAGTTTTGGTGCGTTACAGTGTTGATTGTGTAAATTATGTACAGTTTCAGTGACAATTCGTTTTGATTCAGTCATGTGCAGTTGATGCAATTATTCAATTGTTGATTAAAAATCCATTTAGAGTAGGCGGTAAATTGTAAATTGTATTTATTATTAATTTATTCGTATTGTAGATGCAAAAAATGTTTGATGGTGATATGTTGTTTGCAGTTTTTAATGGTTTTTGTGCTTTAATATGAAGATTATTGGTAGAAAAACGTAAAAATGCATGTGAGTTACTTTTAGTTTTGAGTTTTTAGTTGCTTAGGTGTCTAGATTTGGTTGTTTTGGTGTAATTTTAGACACCACCTGTTGCTAGGTATTCTGTGTAGGTTTCTACAGTTGTAGGTTTGAAAATACTAGTATTACAAACGTAGATAGATAGAAAATGTACAAATAAATATTGGGGAAGTTTTGTGGTAACATGTAACATAATTTTTCGATATACCTACTACGAAATTAGCATTGAAAAGTTCATAACTGTTTCTTGCGTAAAAATTAAGTTAATTTAGTTTCATTAGAAGTATGTACGTCACTTCCTTTGCAAACTGGGGCACCGGAAAGGCGAATTTTCTGCATGGCGTGCGACTTTCGTTAACATATTAAAATTTCACACCAAACACGAAAAGAAAAAAAAATTAAATATGCGTTACTGTCAAAAATAGCCCATAACTTTTTTGTTATTCGGTTTGCGAATATGGGGTTGGTATTTTTGGAATCTTAAAACATTGTTTAAAATATTATTTGTCAATTCTTTAACATTTTTTAACAAATTACCTGAAAAAACCCATATTTTAAATGTATGTTTTTACATAACCAAATACCTAGTAAAAATATATCTTTTAAATCTTTAAAATTGTGTAGTAATTTAACTGGAATTTAAAAATGTAAAAATCCCAATTCCATTTGACATAACAAAGTTATTTTTATAATTATCAGAGTATTATAAGTATTTTTAATGACTTAACTAAAATAAAACTATTTTGTCTTTTTTTTGACAACGTTATATTTTCACACTGCTGATGCACTGCGCATGCGCCGAGACCGTTTAATACCATGTTGCCAAACGTTGCACGTTTCATTGGAATCGAACAAAAGTTGTTCGATTAAAAAGAGCATTTTAATTGTTTAAAACAGCCAAATTTTGGATAAAAACAATTTAATTTTTTTTTAACATGATTTTAACAAAATTACATAAGGTTTTCCACAAAAAAAATACCCGACGAATATTTTTTTAAGAGAAACTGAACATTTATCCGGAACGTCTGGCAACATTGCATCGAACTGCATTTGCACGGGACGATGGATGCGGTCGTGCGATGTTGCCAAACCTTTCAAAAAACGCATGTTTAGGGATTATAGATTTTTAACCGCAATTAATTATTTTTTACGACGTTTTAAAAGTCTAAAACCTATCCTCCGTGACTGTTACTCTATATGTTTTCAAATATCTGAGGTGGTAAAAGCATACTAAAAATATCAGTTCACTAAGTAAATTAAACACATCCAAAGCAATCGAATCAAATATAAAATATTATTAAAAATTAAAAGAAATAATGTTTATAACCATACAAAAATTAATTCTATCCTCCGTGAATCTGTTTTTGCTTTAAATTTTATGCAAAGGATGGCGCTTTAATCATGAGTGTTGCTGTTTTAAAATTCAAAAGTTTAAGTTCATTAATTTGCTATTTAAAAACCTATCCACCGTGAAGTGTATTATCTGAGTAAGTAGATTTTTTTATAAATATTTTATGTATGTCATTTATAGGTGTCAAAAGATACAATAACTTATTTCAAATATTAAAACAAATATACGAAATCCTAACCTCCGTGAAGCTATCTTCCGTGAAGCCATTCTAGACTAACAGTTAATTGTTTTTATAAATGATAGCAAAAGTTTGCAATAAAAACCTCTTCCTAGCACTAAAACACCTCGTAGACGCGGCAACAGCGCACAGTTAAAATACCACTCTTCCCGAAACATAACCGCATAGTACGTCGACTCGACCGCGTAATGTTTGTTTTCCCTGTGACGTCTTGAAAACGCGTGCTCTCAAACGTAAACAACAATTCGAAAAAAAAAAATAATCGTTTTTCTTCGAAGCGAGATAAAACGCCGAAAAAATCGAGTTGACGTCGATAATTTTGAGGTTAAAAACCACCCCCGATCGCCTTTTGTTCGTTGCGTGTTTGTGTCGTACGTTTTTTGTTTTTACCCTGCGTGTGTGTGTGTAAATCGTCGTCGTTTTGTTTTGTTGGGAGGTTTGTATTTTTTGTTTTATAAAATCATATTCTGCTTAAAAAATCCTTTCATTTGATACCCATGTCGATGGGGTTGCGAAGAATTAGGTAATCTGACATATTGGGGCGGCGGCCATATTGGATTTAGTGTGACATCAATCACCTACGCGTTGAACCCTTTCATTTGATATGCATGTCAAAAAGGTTGCAAAAAATTTGGTAATCCGCCATTTTGAAAAAATTACATTGTTGAGTAGGCTGGGAGGTATTTTCAGTAGCACCAAAAGTGTGTTCAAAATTTCAACTCAATAGGTTAGGTGGAAGTATGTTAAAATCAAATAACTAGATTCCTATACTTACTATGTGTTATAGTATATGTTAAAATCATAAAATACATTTTTCCAAAAAAAATATATATAAACACCCCATTGTATAGGCTTATATACCTACCTACTAAAGGTCCATACAAAACTCAGGTAGAACCTTTTAAATCTAAGAAGCTACTTTTACCTACCTTCCAATACTAACGGTATAAACAAATTAACATTTTATGAAAACGTTTTTCACGCTAAAAGGTTAATAGACTTTTCACACTATTTGCTCACTTAAATAGGTACTAGGGGTAAGCTACCCTTTTTAATTTTATTAAAACGATATGGGTATGAAATAATTGGGTTTATAATTTCTTCCTATTTTATATTTTTAAATTGGCAAATTATTTAGTATTAAATTTTTACTTTCTCACATTGTTTGCAATATATTATTATCAATAATAATTTATTGTATCTTTAATTGTTGATAGTTGTATATGGTTTTGAGCAATCCAATAAATTAAAACTATTAAACGTAACAACCATAAACTGTTGAAAGTTTGCTGTCTTTCCGGAATTTTCATCGCATGGAAAAGGAAAATCGATAATTTCAATGGTTAAACTTAGTTTCGTCATCACAAAAGGTTTTCCCTCTATTGTTCACCATTTCAGAAGTTTTCCAAAGGCTTTAACAGCCTAAACTTTTTTTAAAGTGTTTTTTTTTTGTATAATTGTTATTTATTGCTTCTCTGAAACACCTGTATATTATTTACTACAAAAGCGAACAAATATATTGTTTCGCATGCCCTTGGTTGTAAAATAAGTCGTTTGTCACTTGGGATTAAATATCACTGGTTATTCATAAAATTATTTGTTTAAAATGTAATGTGAGATATATAAATGTGGGAAAATAAATTGTACATATAGTAACTAGACTGAGTTTATTTTTATGACGCTATAGAATTAAAACATTATATATAATATAATATTAATAATATTTATTACTTTAAAGTATATTTGAAAAATTTGTACCTTTTAAGTCGTATGGCAATACTAACCATTTTTTGAGAATGTTTCAATAGTGAATTTTAAAAATTTTATTCATAATATTAATAATAAAAGTGTGCTAGAATTGTTGAAAAAATAATATTTATTTAATTTTGGTTGATATTTAAATAAATTATCGTATACTATAACTATCTCTTCGTATCTAAAGAAGAAAGTCCGAATAACAAATTATTTTCCTTCTTCGCATTCCTAGCGATCTTTAAAATTAAATAATTAGTGCAGTAATTTCTGCCCATTTCGGGTCAAAAACTTACTTAAGGGGGTACTCGCTTTGTTTCAAAACTAAACAAATATATGTGGATTAAAATTACAGTTGAATCTCCCTCGATAGACAATGTTAGAGCGTGATACATATCGGGAATTATTTTTAAGGGTATCGTTACCAAAAATTTCGCAAAGTCGACTTGTTTTTCGCGGAAATGCCCCTTAATCCTTCTGGTTTGTAATTAGACAATTGCACAGCACATCTGGATTACGATGAATTCTATTTATAGCACTGACCATCACAAGTAACTTTTGTCAAAATTCTGCATTGGCGTAGATACCTATCCCACCCTATTTTTTACGCCACTGGATATTAAAAAAACAAACATTAAACAAACGTGTTTTTGCCTAAAACCATAATATAGTTTACGTATTTTGTAATAAACCAACAAATATGGTAATATTTGTTTAAATTTTACAATATGTAGTAAAAATCAAGGAATATTACCCAAATTAGAAATGTTTTTATATTTCACATGTACATACATACCTACTACAGTAACATTGGTTTGGTTTACTTTAACATATCTACACAAACATTATTTTTTATAATATTCAACATCAAAAAAGTTTTGTGTTAAGGTAAAATTTTGATTTTTAATTAACTTTAATGTTTTTTAGCTT